TTTTCAAATCCGGCAACGTTTCATTGTTTTTTTTTTACGTGATTTCTGGCAAAACTTGAACTTCTTCTTCAGGTGGATGAAGAGAAAAAAAGAAAAAAAAGTAATTCATGGCTCAGGCTGAGTGCGACGAGTTCCAGGCCATGACTCATCAGGGTTACGCTAACGACCACAAAGACACAGAAGATGAGGCTGAAGCAGAAAAAGTGTTTCAAAAGGACGAAAAGATCAAACCTTCCATTTTTTGTATAAACTGATACAAATCAGTGCGCTTGGCACCTTTACTTTTCTTATTCGTTAACGATCTCTATGGATCCGTTTGGGTTTGATATGTCAAACTTGCCTTGAACTACAACTGACCAGTAGGGTCAGTGTAGAGTCATGTGTATGATGTGTCACCGTCAGAATATCTGCGACGGATCCGTTTGGTTTAAGAGGTCGACGAGGAAAAGCGACCGTTACGTCCGTGCCTGGAGGAAAAGGAGCAGACGGTGTGTTCAGTCTGATCTGATGTAACTTTTGATTATTGATGTTAATATTCTGTTCCTTCTGATCTCAGCAGTGACCTCCTCCAGTGTCTCCATGACGGGAGTTTACGTCCTGCACATCCGCTGGTTAGACGGACCAACACGTGGTCATAAAGTCTGGTCCTAAGTTTGAGTAATGTGATGACACCATGGTTAGGTTTCACTCCTTTGCTCCTAGACCACCTGTCCACCTGGTCCACCTGTGGTGGGTTTCTTTTCATGTCTGTAGGTTTAACCTCGTTTAAAAGAAGGTCAGGTTTAGTTCAATCTGTCTAATGGTGGCTCTGATGGTAAATATTACAAATGTTTTTGATATTAAAGGTTACAAACAAGGTCAGTGTGCCGGGGGAAGTTTCAAACAATAAAAGCATGTTAAAGTGGTTTTTGATTCAGGTTTCCGTTTGTCGTTGTTGTCAGTTCAAAAGCTGAACGCTGGAAGAAAAGTTTCAGGAATTCTTCTCAGTTCTGTTAGAAAATGTAAAAGATTAAAAAAGCACCAAACAGAAAGTTTCACATCCCTCTTGTCCAATAAAAAACAGGCTGAGAAACACCGAAACCCAGCTGTTCCCTTTGACAGCTCTCAGACCGGTTTGTGTCTGAAAGTGAGGCGTGCTGTGTGGGGTGTTGCCGTGACAACGTGACCTCTCTATGGATTGGTCGTTTCAGATGTCGCTCCAGAGGATGGCCAGCCTACTTCTATCCACACTGACGACGTATTCACCCGACAGAGACCAGGCCACAGCACTGATGGACGAGCTAGAGAGAGGGGGGGAGGAGAGGGAGTTCTTAAAGGAACAGTACAACATTTAAATGTGGAGTCCCTCAGAGAACGTTAAAACGATCAATGCACTTGAGCTTGTACAGCACTTTTCTAGTCTTCTGACTCCTCAAAGCTCTTTTACACATTCACTGAGTAAATAGTCCATCAGTATTAACTCATCCATTCATAAACATTCATACAGCGCAGACGAAGCAGCAGGAGCAATTCGGGTGCAAGGACACATTGGACATGTTGCTGCAGGAGCTGGGGACCGAACCCTCGACCTTCCGGTTGAGAGACGACCGACTCTACCACTGAGCCAAAGCCGCCCCTGAAGTGTCCTGGGCCCTTTTTTGTTTTAAAGAAATGGATAGAAACTCTTAACACTGAAAGATCTAAAACCTTCATGAAAATCTTCCTCTTTGTCCTGAATAAGCTGGAGTTCCTCAGGGAAGCATTCTAAGCCCACTGTTTGTCCTTTATATATGATTTTTAGGGGTTTACACAAACACTTAAAGATACTAAGAAATCTGTTTGACAAACAGAGTCTAAAATTTTGTGATATTATTTGGATAATTGTCAGGCCATCTTTTTAAACTCCCTCAACTGCAGAATTAATGTTGATGCTTTTTTTTTAAAAGTGAAACAACTGACTTACAGCTGAGTGTGAGCAGAAAAGAGGGAAAACCTATCAGTGGTGGTTTTGACGGGCCTCGATTTAAAATCCGGTATCTGTGTTGAGTTACCTGTGTTGGTCAGGTAGGCGTGTCTCCAGGTTGCCCGTCGAGACGTTCCAGATGTAAACTGCTCCGTCTGCTGAGCCAGCTGCCAGGAAGCAACCGTCCGGACTGACGATAGAGAGAAAGCATGAAGTAAGACTGAGGTTTCTCTAAAACAGGATAATAAAAAGAACCGGGAGGAGCTGAAGTGCAGTCATCCTAAAATGTCTCCTTCAGTTTAGACTCAAATACACATTAAAGGTGACATCTCCTCCTCCTCTTCAGTGTAAATAAGTCTCATAGCTCCTCAAAACATGTGTGTGTAGTTTCTTGTTCTAAATCCACTCTGATCCTGTATTTGATCATGTCTATAAACCCCTCTATTTCAGCCCTGCTCAGAACAGGCCCTTTGTGATGTCATGAAGGGAAAATCTCCAAACGGCCTGTTTGAGCACATTTTCTGAAAAGTGGAGTAGGGAGAGGATGGACTTTTCTCATCATTGGGGGGTTTGTAGATGGACTAGAGACACATGTTAGAGTTAGAGGAACATGGTGAAGAGGATTTTGAATGATATGTGACCTTTAAAACTGGAGGTTTTATCTGCATAATTCCTGTTTTCATATATATTCGTTAAGAAAAGTCGGTCTAAAGAGAAAAACATATGCAGAACAAAATCGTCTCACAGCCGCTCTGAACTCATTGGAGCTCTTCTGAAGTGGATTTGTATTCTTCTTAAATAAACAGAAACTTTCAAACGAGTGCGGCTAACGATATAGATGTTTTTATCTCCTCTCATCTTTATGTCCATTTTTAACTCTTTAATCACGAGTCTGACTGTTAACAAAGACGAGCGGACGTGTGGAGCGTCTTGGATGGAATAACAATCATCACTCTGTAAGATTTAAAATCACAGCTTCTCAAACACTCCTGTAAGAGAATCTGCTGTTTTCTCATTTGATGAATCTGAAAATATACAAATATTTTCAGGAGATGTTCTGTGAATAAATCGACTGATTCAGATGTCACCGATGTAAAATATTAAAAACATTAAGCAGGTTTGAAGCAGCTGTTCCTGATTGGTTCTCCTGGAACCTCAGAGAGAACCTAGAGAGCCTGACTGTGTGTGTGTGTGTGTGTGTGTGTGGATTTAGTGCTTCTGTCGCAGAGCCCAAAGCATCACTGAGCTGCTGTTGTCATGGAAACTGCAAGATATCAACCACGCAGCATCTATTCGCTCCTCTCTCTGTTGTTTTTGTAGAAGTGTTTGACAAAGACATTGATCAGGTAAACAGACTGTAACGTCTGCAGCAGGTAAACAGACTGTAACGTCTGCAGGTAAACAGACTGTAACGTCTGCAGAGGTTAAACAGACTGTAACGTCTGCAGGTAAACAGACTGTAACGTCTGCAGGTAAACAGACTGTAACGTCTGCAGAGGTTAAACAGACTGTAACGTCTGCAGGTAAACAGACTGTAACGTCTGCAGGTAAACAGACTGTAACGTCTGCAGGTAAACAGGCTGTAACGTCTGCAGCGGGTAAACAGACTGTAACGCCTGCAGCGGGTAAACAGACTGTAACGTCTGCAGCGGGTAAACGGACTGTAACGCCTGCAGCGGGTAAACAGACTGTAACGCCTGCAGCGGGTAAACAGACTGTAACGTCTGCAGCGGGTAAACAGACTGTAACGCCTGCAGCGGGTAAACAGACTGTAACGCCTGCAGCGGGTAAACAGACTGTAACGTCTGCAGCGGGTAAACAGACTGTAACGCCTGCAGCGGGTAAACAGACTGTAACGTCTGCAGCGGGTAAACAGACTGTAACGCCTGCAGCAGGTAAACTGACTGTAACATCTGCAGCAGGTAAACAGGCTGTAACGTCTGCAGCAGGTAAACAGACTGTAACGTCTGCGCAGGTAAACAGACTGTAATGTCTGCAGCGGGTAAACAGACTGTAATGTCTGCAGCGGGTAAACAGACTGTAACGTCTGCAGCGGGTAAACAGACTGTAACGTCTGCAGAGGTTAAACAGACTGTAACGTCTGCAGCAGGTAAACAGACTGTAACGCCTGCAGCGGGTAAACAGACTGTAACGTCTGCAGCGGGTAAACAGACTGTAACATCTGCAGCGGGTAAACAGACTGTAACGTCTGCAGGTAAACAGGCTGTAACGTCTGCAGGTAAACAGACTGTAACGTCTGCAGGTAAACAGACTGTAACGTCTGCAGCAGGTAAACAGACTGTAACGTCTGCAGGTAAACAGACTGTAACGTCTGCAGCGGGTAAACAGACTGTAACGTCTGCAGAGGTTAAACAGACTGTAACGTCTGCAGCAGGTAAACAGACTGTAACGCCTGCAGCAGGTAAACAGACTGTAACGTCTGCAGCGGGTAAACAGACTGTAACGTCTGCAGGTAAACAGGCTGTAACGTCTGCAGGTAAACAGACTGTAACGTCTGCAGGTAAACAGACTGTAACGTCTGCAGGTAAACAGACTGTAACGTCTGCAGCGGGTAAACAGACTGTAACGTCTGCGCAGGTAAACAGACTGTAATGTCTGCAGCGGGTAAACAGACTGTAATGTCTGCAGCGGGTAAACAGACTGTAACGTCTGCAGCGGGTAAACAGACTGTAACGTCTGCAGAGGTAAACAGACTGTAACGTCTGCAGCAGGTAAACAGACTGTAACGTCTGCAGGGTAAACAGACTGTAACGTCTGCAGCGGGTAAACAGACTGTAACGTCTGCAGCGGGTAAACAGACTGTAACGTCTGCAGGTAAACAGGCTGTAACGTCTGCAGGTAAACAGACTGTAACGTCTGCAGGTAAACAGACTGTAACGTCTGCAGGTAAACAGACTGTAACGTCTGCAGGTAAACAGACTGTAACGTCTGCAGCAGGTAAACAGACTGTAACGTCTGCAGGTAAACAGACTGTAACGTCTGCAGCGGGTAAACAGACTGTAACGTCTGCAGAGGTAAACAGACTGTAACGTCTGCAGCAGGTAAACAGACTGTAACGTCTGCAGCAGGTAAACAGACTGTAACGTCTGCAGCGGGTAAACAGACTGTAACATCTGCAGCGGGTAAACAGACTGTAACGTCTGCAGGTAAACAGGCTGTAACGTCTGCAGGTAAACAGACTGTAACGTCTGCAGGTAAACAGACTGTAACGTCTGCAGGTAAACAGACTGTAACGTCTGCAGCGGGTAAACAGACTGTAACGTCTGCAGGTAAACAGACTGTAATGTCTGCAGGTAAAGAGATTGTAACGTCTGCAGCGGGTAAACAGACTGTAACGTCTGCAGGTAAACAGACTGTAATGTCTGCAGGTAAAGAGATTGTAACGTCTGCAGCGGGTAAACAGACTGTAATGTCTGCAGGTAAACAGACTGTAACGTCTGCAGCGGGTAAACAGACTGTAACGTCTGCAGGTAAACAGACTGTAATGTCTGCAGGTAAAGAGATTGTAACGTCTGCAGCGGGTAAACAGACTGTAACGTCTGCAGCGGGTAAACAGACTGTAACGCCTGCAGCGGGTAAACAGACTGTAACGTCTGCAGCGGGTAAACAGACTGTAACGCCTGCAGCGGGTAAACAGACTGTAACGCCTGCAGCGGGTAAACAGACTGTAATGTCTGCAGCGGGTAAACAGACTGTAATGTCTGCAAACAGACTGTAACGCCTGCAGCAGGTAAACAGACTGTAACGTCTGCAGCGGGTAAACAGACTGTAACGCCTGCAGCAGGTAAACAGACTGTAACGTCTGCAGCAGGTAAACAGACTGTAACGCCTGCAGCAGGTAAACAGACTGTAACGTCTGCAGCGGGTAAACAGACTGTAACGTCTGCAGCAGGTAAACAGGCTGTAACGTCTGCAGGTAAACAGACTGTAACGTCTGCAGGTAAACAGACTGTAACGTCTGCAGCAGGTAAACAGACTGTAACGTCTGCAGGTAAACAGACTGTAACGTCTGCAGCGGGTAAACAGACTGTAACGTCTGCAGAGGTAAACAGACTGTAACGTCTGCAGCAGGTAAACAGACTGTAACGCCTGCAGCAGGTAAACAGACTGTAACGTCTGCAGCGGGTAAACAGACTGTAACATCTGCAGCGGGTAAACAGACTGTAACGTCTGCAGGTAAACAGGCTGTAACGTCTGCAGGTAAACAGACTGTAACGTCTGCAGGTAAACAGACTGTAACGTCTGCAGCGGGTAAACAGACTGTAACGTCTGCAGGTAAACAGACTGTAATGTCTGCAGGTAAAGAGATTGTAACGTCTGCAGCGGGTAAACAGACTGTAACGTCTGCAGCGGGTAAACAGACTGTAACGTCTGCAGGTAAACAGACTGTAACGTCTGCAGGTAAACAGATTGTAAGGTCTGCAGCAGGTAAACAGACTGTAACGTCTGCAGCGGGTAAACAGACTGTAACGTCTGCAGCGGGTAAACAGACTGTAACGTCTGCAGCGGGTAAACAGACTGTAACGTCTGCAGCAGGTAAACAGACTGTAACGTCTGCAGAGGGTAAACAGACTGTAACACCTGCAGGTTAAACAAACAGGTGTTCTGTTGGTGATTGGTTGATTGACCTCAGACCAGGTGAGTGCAGTCAGCAGTAGTGGATGATGAGAGAGCTCACCTGATCACAGCCTTGGTGCTGTCACTGCCGCATTTAAATCCTTCCGCTCTGATGGACACACACACACACAGTTAGAATCTCTTCGTTATAAAAACACAGAAATAATTCTTAACTTTTACGTCTCTACCTGAAACACACACGGTCGTTGCTCCCCCTCCTCAGGTCGACCATCTGGAGGCAGTCATCACGACAACAG